GCCGATGCCTCCGTCGCCTGGCTGGAGTGGCCGCGGGGGAGTCTGGAGTCGGGCGGCCGCTGGTGGGAGCCGCGGGTGCCCGGGCCGAGATTGGGGGGGCAAGGCGGGCGACAGAAGGCCGATGCCTCCGTCGCCCGGCCCTCTACAGAATCCACCCCCCAAACCTCCAGGTATTTCCCTCCTTAGAGCTGGCAACCCTACATTCCCCTCAGTGCCTGTTGGTAGGCAACTAAGCTTGGTCCTGTCACCTACTTTGGCCTTTGGGAGAAAACACATTGGGGCCAGTCCTGATAGGGTTGCCAACTCCAGATGGGAAATTCCTGGAGATTTGAGGGATGGAGCCTGAAGAGGGTGAGGTTTGAGGAGGGGTGGGACCTCAGACAGGTACACTGCCATAGACTCCACCCTCCAAACCAGTCAGTCTCACATAGGGAACCATTGTTGCCAATCTCCAGGTGAGGGCTGGAGAGCACTCAGTATTACAACTGCTCTGCAGAAGGGAGGGCAGAAGTCAGCTGAAGTCAAAGGGGCAGATAATGGTAGGTTGGTGGCTAGCTGGGAAGGAGATGGGGTTGCCAACTACATGCTGACAAATTCCTGGGGATTTGAGGGGTGGAGCCTGGAGAGGGTGGGGTTTGCAGAGGGGTGGGACCTCAGACAGGTAGAATGCCATAGACTACACCCTCCAAACCAGCCATTTTGTCCTGGGTAACAATTGCTGCCATTCTCCAGGTGAGGGCTACAGATCACTCACAATTACAACATTATACCCTGCTGAGGTCACCACAGCAAATTGACACTGTTTGCCCAAAGCCAGAGCACTGCCCCAGAGCCTCTTTCTAGATCTCGTTGTATTGCTTTCACAATGGACTTTATTGCTAGTAAGCCATATTACAATAAGATAACCAATAAGTGAATACTGGACCAAGATGAGGAAGGTTAAGCAGCAAGATCTATAGACGCAAGGCAAAGATGTTTGTGAGGCCTCTAAGGATGAGAGTCATGTGTCTGGTGCCAAATGCACAGTAGCTGAATTAGAACATCTTCCAATTTAGGCCCAAAAAGCACCTGTGTGGCTATCTTAGTCAGAGCCGGAGTGTCCTCGAGCAAATAGTTCTCCCAGATTAGAGTCCACGCTCCTCTCCTGGGTACTGAGGTGCCTCCTGTTCTGAATGGTGCCCCTCAAGGTTCATAGCTTGTGGGTGCTCCTGGACCCAGCTGTGGCCAGCACTGCCCTTTACCATCTTCCGCTGGTTAGCCCATTGCAGCCTTTCCAGGGCAAAAAAAGATCTGGCCACTGTGGTGCTCACCCTGGTTATATCTAAGTTAGATTACTGCAATGCACTTTATATGGGGCTGCCCTTGAAGACTGTCCAGAAACTCTGATTGCTGCAGAATGCTGACTGGAGTGGGTCACAGGGACCGTATCACTCCACTCCTGGGCCCATCTACACTGGCTCCCAATTTGCTTCTGGGCCCAGTTCAGTGTAGTATAATTCTTAAAAGTGCCAGATTAGGATCTGGGTTCGAATCCCCACTCTCTCGTGGAAGCCGGATGGGTGACCTTGGGCCAGGCACATGCTCAAAGCAGTCAAAATGTTTTGGGGTACTTACAAGATCATCTAGGTCAGTGTCCTCTTCCATTTCTTTACTGGCCAGCCTAGTGACATTAAAAACAGAGAGGTTAGTGGGCATTCAAGCTTCTGGATTGCAGGAAATAATTGAAAACAGGTCCAGGAATTACACAATCCAGTAAATCATGAGGACTAACTATGCAGAATTTCTCAAACTGAACCCATTCAGGTCAATGGCCTCAGACCGGGATAACTGCATGAGGTCTGTGCGGACCTGGAGGTTTTCCTACCACAAGGTCAGCAGTGGGCTGCAAAGGAAGTTTCTTCCTTCCCACATAATTGACCATGAAGAAGGCTGACTAAGACAACCCGGGCTAAAGGGTTTCGAAAATAAGCCGTATTCTCACACAGAGACCCTACAGTGTGAGGATAAGAACCTAAGAAGAGCCCTGCTGGGATCAGACCAGTGAGGGTTCCTCTAGTCCAGCATCCTGTCTCACACAGTAGCCACCCAGTTCCTCTGGAGGGCCAACAACAGGGCAAAGAGGCCGAGGCCTTCCCCTGATAAGAGCCTCAGAAGAGCCCTGCTGGGTCAGACCAGTGAGGGTCCATCTAGTCCAGCCTCCCGTCTCACACAGGGGCCAGCCAGTTCCTAAGGAGGGCCAGCAACAGGGCAGAGAGGCCGAGGCCTTCCCCTGATAAGAAACTCAGAAGAGCCCTGCTGGGTCAGACCGGTGAGGGTCCATCTAGTCCAGCATCCTGTCTCATACAGGGGCCAGCCAGTCCCTCTGGAGGGCCAGCAACAGGGCAGAGAGGCCGAGGCCTTCCCCTGAGAAGAACCTCAGAAGAGCCCTGCTGGGTCAGACCAGTGAGGGTCCCTCTAGTCCAGCCTCCCGTCTCACACAGTGGCCAGCAATGTTCCCTCTAAGCTGTGGAGTCCTGTGAGCGAAAATTCTCCTTTGTGAGCCACTGGCATTAACGTTGTGAGCGAGGGATTTGGCAACTGCATGAATTAGCTTGCTCTGGAGCCCTCCTTCCTGAGCAAAGACAAAAATGTGTGAGCCAGAGATTAAAAAACTGTGAGCTAGCTCACACTAACTCAGCTTAGAGGGAACACTGGTGGCCAGCCAGTTCCTCTGGAGGGCCAACAACAGGGCAGAGAGGCCGAGGCCTTCCCCTGATAAGAACCTCAGAAGAGCCCTGCTGGGTCAGACTAGTGAGGGTCCATCTAGTCCAGCCTGCTGTCTCACACAGTGGCCAGCCAGTTCCTCTGGAGGGCCAGCAATAGGGCTGAGAGGCCGAGGCCTTCCCCTGATAAGAGCCTCAGAAGAGCCCTGCTGGGTCAGACCGGGGAGGGTCCATCAAGTCCAGCCTCCCGTCTCACACAGTGGCCAGCCAGTTCCTCTGGAGGGCCAGCAACAGGGCATAGAGGCTGAGACCTTCCCCTGATGCTGCCTCCTGGCACTGGGATTCACAGGTTAACTGCCTCTAAATGTGGAGGCTCCCTTTCAACGCTGTGGCTAGCAGCCACTGATAGACTCTCCTCCATGAATCTGTCTAATCCCCTTTCAGTGCTGTCTATACCTGTGGCCATCACTGCATCCTCCGGCAGCGAATGTCACATCTTAATCGCCCGCTTTGTAAAGAAGTATTCCCTTTGACCATCCTCTCCCTATCAGCTCCATTGGATGCCCACGAAGTCTTGTATTTTGGGGGAGGGAGAGAAAGCGCTTTCTCTCAACCCTCTCCACACCGCGCACAATTTTACCCGCCTTGATCCTGTCCCTCCTTAGGATGACTTACCAAGGAGTCACGATGTATTTTTTAATCAGCAGAACAGTCAGCAAAAGGCAGACTCCTCCGATCGTAAAGCCGACGATCGCATAGGTAGGCGCTGAGAAAACAGAGAAAGGACGCCATGTCCCTTAACTGAGCCTTTCCATGTTGAAGGCTGTAAGTGGGTCAAGTGGTTAAGACGCTGAATCGCAGGCCGGAAGGTCGGTACTTCGGCAGTTCGGGACCCGAGTGCCGTGTGACGGAGTGAGCTCCCGTCTCTGGCCCCCGGCTCCTGCCGACCTAGTTGTTTGAAAGCAAGGAATGGCAAGTAGATCAATAGGTACTGCTCCAGTGGGAAGATAACAGCGTTCCCTGTGCGCCTTGGTGTCTAGTCATGCCGGCCACGTGACCACGGAAACGTCTTCGGACAGCGCCGGTTCTTTGGCTTGGAAACAGAGATGAGCAACCGCAACCCTAGAGTCGGATTCGACTGGCTTTCGAGCAAGGGAAACCTTTACTAGCAGTAGAAAAAGAACAAAAGTCCAGGAGCACCTTTGAGACTAACAGAATTTGTGACAGGGGATGATCTTCCGTGAATCACTGCTCACTGCCTCAGAAGAAGCTGTATCTGAAGAAGTGAGCCGTGACTCATGAACGCTCATCTCCTGTCACAAATTCTGCTAGAGGAGGAGGAGGAGGAGACTGGATTTATACCCCGCCCTTCACTCGGCATCTCAGAGTGGCTTACAATCTCCTTTCCCTTCCCTTCCCCACAACAGACACCCTGTGAGGTAGGTGGGGCTGAGAGAGCTCTCTCGAGGACTGCTCCTGAGAGAACAGCTCTGAGAGAACTTGTGACTGACTCCAGGTCACCCAGCTGGCTGCATGTGGAACAGTGAGGAATCAAACCCGGTTCTCCCAGATTAGAGTCTGTGCTCCTAACCACTACACCAAACTGGCTCTCGAGGTGCTCCTGGACTCTTGCTCTTTTCTACTGCTGGAAGTGTGTATTCCCACCCAGTGCCTGCAGTTACTAGCCAGGAAGCCCTTCCCATGAGTCCAACGCCCAGCACTAAAGCAGCCTTTGAGCCAGGGAAATGCCGGACTGTGAACTTTGTGCAGCGAGCATGTGTGGAACCGTGTGAAAGAGACGAGCAGGCATTTCCCAGTGCACTGGGTGGCCCTGCATCAGAGGGCTTCCCAATGTGTGTGCGGGAATCAGTGTCTACCCTTCACACATCACATACTTCTGCAAAAAAGGGCTCTGGACATAGCTGTGTGACTTCCTCTTAGAATCATAGAATGTCAGAATTAGAAGGGACCTTGCAGGTCATCTAGTCCAACCCCACCGCACTCTGCAGGAGCGTAGCCGAAAGATAGCGCTAGAACATACCCGGAAGATGGTCGCCCAGCCTCCGCTTGAAAACGTCCAGCGAAGGAGCATCCACCATCTCCCGAGGCGGACTGTTCCACTGCTCAACCACTCTCACAGTTGGGAAGTCTCTCCTGATATTTAGCCAGTATCGACTCCCTTGTCATTTCCACCCATTCGATCTAGTCTTGCAGTACGAAGCAAGAGAGGATAGATCCGCTCCATCTTCTACATGACAGCCCTTCAGATACTTGAAGACTGCAATCATGTCCCTTCTAAGCCTTCTCTTTCCCAGGCTAAACATACCCAACTCTTTCAACCTTTCCTCCTAAGACTTGGATTCCAACCCTCTCACCCTCCTGGTTGCCCTCTTCTGGACATGCTCGAGCTTGTCAACGTCCTTCCTAAAACGTGGTGCCCAGAACTGGACACAGAACTCCAGGTGAGGCCTGACCATGGCAGAATAGAGCGGAACGACCACCTCCCTGTGATCTGGACACGATGCTTCCCCACCAGGGCCAGGAAAGCCATTCTCTTCCAGCACAACCTACGAAACCTGGGCCTTCAGCCACTGCTTGAAATTCATCCCCACCAGGGAAAGGATCTTTCTTGGCCATTCCCCATTTGGTAACTAATGTAAAGGGTAGGTGTGTGTCTGTGTGAATGGCAAACCGTAGACCTTGGAAGGCCAAAACTGATTGGACCAGAAATCAGGATTGCCATCTCTGGGAGGGGAATACCTGGAGATTTTGGGAGTGGAGTCTGTGGAGGGCGGGGTTTAGGGAGAGGAGGGGCTTCAGTGGGCTATACATATCCAGCCTGCCCTAAAAGCACTGCACTGGCTGCCTATAGCATAGCGGATTCGGTTCAAGGTGCTGGTTCCCTATGTGGTCGGGAACCTCCATACCTAAGGGACCGCCTTTCCCCACATGTGCCCCAGAGAGCACTAAGATCGGGATCCCAAAATCGCCTGACTCTTCCAGGCCCTAAAGGGGCCAGGCTGGCCACAACAAGGGCCAGGGCCTTCCCCGTGGTGGCCCCTCACTGGTGGAATGAGCTCCCAGACGACATCAGGGCCCTGCGGGACCTCTTGCAGTTCCGCAGGGCCTGTAAGACGGAGCTCTTCCGCCAGGCTTTCAGGTAGGGGCTGCCTTAACATCGTGACCCTGGCCCTTACACCGACATCACCATCGACTGGACAGCTAACAGCCCGGCAGGAGACCACTCGACGTTGTCGGACCTACAACGTCGACGTCAGGTGGCCCTGTCATAGATCTGGAATGTGGAGGGGGTGCCCTCCCGTTTTTGGTCTCAGCTCTCCCTGGCTCACCAACTGTTTGCTATCTTATGCTTGACCTTGCAGATGCTCCAGCTGCAGTTTTACTCGGCCGGGAAAGTTAATGGCTTTTAGCTCTGCCTGCTTGCTTTGCCCGCGCGTGAGAGATGTATCCATTAGCTCAAGCTTACCGGGGGG